TTGGCCCATACGAGGCATCTCCTATCTAAACACAAAGATTAATCTAGTGTAATTGGCCTGTTATGTTGGACATTGTCTTCTGTGTTGGCATCGATATGTCCTTGTCTTGTCCTTACTCTCATGGTGGGTAGAGTAAATAGTTCCGTGATTTGGGTGTTCATGGTAGGTCGCTCTATTCTTATGTGAATTGCCTCAAGAATTTGTAATCTTCTTGAATCTTGGGTTTTGTCTATTATGCAATTATGTCTATTTTGCATAATAGACAAAACCCAAGATTCAAGAAGATTACAAATTCTTGAGGCAATTCACATAAGAATAGAGCGACCTACCATGAACACCCAAATCACGGAACTATTTACTCTACCCACCATGAGAGTAAGGACAAGACAAGGACATATCGATGCCAACACAGAAGACAATGTCCAACATAACAGGCCAATTACACTGGATTAATCTTTGTGTTTAGATAGGAGATGCCTCGTATGGGCCAATAAGCCTTCTGCAGCCTCTATGTTTCACCTCACATTTATCCCTTATGTATCCCCCCATGTTTTTCACCTTCATTGTATTATCACCTGACCTAATGCGGGTATAAAATCAACTAGTATTGTAAGATCTGTTCACTTGAGAATGAACCATGGAGGTTCGAAACGTCGTGCAAATTATACAAATAAGTGTAATACACTATAGTAAATCACTTCTTTTCTTCACCTTAAAAGTACGAAAATGAGTTTTGGAGAACTCCTATTTCAATTAAGCCCTGATGCTAAGAAAATAGAGGGATAGAAGCCCTAAACCAGAAAATAATAAATACAGAATATGCGGTCATATTCAATGAAATATATATATATATATATATATATATATATATATATATATATATATATATATATATATATATATATATATATATATATATATATATATATATATATATATATATATATATATATATATATATATATATATATATATATATATTGAAGGGAGTACCACCTCTAGCTGGAAGAAGGGGGACCCATAGCCTCGGAGGAAACCAGCATAACGCTTTAGAGGGAATGTTTAGATCCCCTCCAATACAGTTTCTGTGTGCTTTTCTCCTACCACCCCCTTCCTTTTTTTTTTGTGCTTTATTATGCATTTGATGGTTACAAGATATACATGGGTTGATACAAAAATAATAATGCAAAAAGGTGCTTAAAGGTTATGGATCTCTTGAAAAACACAACAATGGGAAACATTGATGAATGTCACAGACGGGTTCGATCATTGTTGCAAGTCAAACACTTCTTCGAATTCCTCTGAAGTTGGACTAGTGCCCAAGACGCAACAGGCATTTCCCCTCTGAATCGCAACACTTAGGCGCTGGAACAAGAAACTTTTTGCTCTCTGGTCTTTGGTAGCGCTGATCAATTTGTCCTCCAATTCCTTCAGGAACTTCAATGCACATTTTCCCCACGAACCGAGGGTCTCCGAGCCGATCGGAACAAAGCTGTAGCAGTGTGCTAGACCTCTGTATTTAATAATTTTCTGCGATTCCCTGAAAGAAGCAGCACCACCGCTTTCACGTGTGCTGTAGTGGAGGTAGGTACTGGCCAGTGTGGCAGCGCACGTGTAGTCCCATACCACTTGCTTACCATCCTTCCAAGGTAGCAAGGTGACCCCATCAGGGCGCTTCTGAGGGTCGTTAGGTCTGGATAAGTGTGGTTCTCTTTGTGCCGGGCAGCGGGCTGTGGCGAGGCTCCTCTTGATGATGTCGTTGACTTCTTCATGTCTTGCAATTTTACCCTGTGATTTACGACATACCAGACCATGACGACCATATTGGTCTGCCATCGCAGTTCCGCAGATGCACCTATGTTCGGTGAGGATGGGGGCGGCAAGGCGAAGGGCAACTCCAATGCGGAGAGCGTCATGACTGAGGCGAGTTCCCAGGGCTGCATTGGGCACAGCAAATAAAAAATCCCCGGCGTGGGGTGCTGTTACCGCTAGGAGGCGGGCTTTGTTTTCAGCATCAGCGTTGTCAATCATTGCTGTGACAGTCTTTTCCATTATGGGTCTATCCCAGTGGGCCTGCTTGTGGTCTTTTGGGACTTGTGGTCGGGGTTGAGGGTGTGCAATGGTGTCCCATTGTCTGGCTGCTTCGATGAACGTTTGATCATGAGTTCCCGCTGTCTCTCTCATACGCTCTGGTAGGATCTGCCCTACCAATTCGTTGGCTGCTGTACATGAGGATAAGAATGCTGGAAGTGCTACCTCAGTTGCCTTTCGTATGCCTATCCCTCCAAATCTCACTGGTAGTGTTGCTTGGTCCCACTGACTGTCATCTAAATCTAGGTTGAGCGCCTTCCTGAATATTGACCTGAGGAGCTCATCATATTGATTTAGAAGTGGGTTGCCAAAAGTTGGTGCACACCTTAAGAAGTATGTTAGCCTTGGCAAGGTAAGGCACTTTGTGAGAAGGTAGAGGGCATCGTGGGAGTCCAAGTCCCCAATTCTCTCTTCCATCCTCTTTAGGTCTCTAAACTTTTCGTCAAGGACTGCAGCAATGGCATTGTGGCCCAGAGGTGCTCCGAGTAGTGTGCTGTTGGTAGGTTTAACGACTGAGGCTTCTGGTAGAACTGATTTCACTGCTCTAATGATTAATTCACTGGATGCAATAATTTCGCACTTGGAGGGGTTAAGAACGAGACCCATGGACTCCCCCCGTGTCTTCACCAGCTGTAGGTCTTCTAGCAGGGAATCTTGTGTACCTGCCAGAGTGCCATCATCCAGGAACCAGATGTTGAGCTCGCTGGACAGTCTGGTTGTAATTTCTCGAACCGCTATGCAAAAGAGGAACGGTGCAAGTGAGTCACCCTGTTGAATTCCCTCTGCTGAGGTGACTTCATGTTTGCCAAACAGGAGGGTTGAGTCTTTGCTGTAGCCTGCTGACACAAACGGGAGAATGCTTGGGCAATGTTCCTGGACTGCAGTGAGGATTGCTTCTCTTTTGACCGAGTTGAAAGCGCTTTTAAAATCTAATTTTACTACTGCCTGGTCTTCAGTAAGAGAGCTAATGTAGGCTCGTGCAGCATGAGCCGCTGCTTCACAGCCTTGGGTAGGCTGAGAAGTGCGTTCTGGCTACTAGGTACGACATATAATTATATATGTCGTACCTAGTAGCCAGAACGCACATCTCAGCCTACTATGCAAGGCCCGATTTTCCTAATAAGCCAAGTTTTCCTGAATTAACATATTTTCTCTAATTTCTTTCTTACGAAATGATAAAGCTACCCATTTCATTATGTATGAGGTCAATTTTTTTTTATTGGAGTTAAAATTAACGTAGATATATGACCGAACCTAACCAACCCTACCTAACCTAACCTAACCTAACCTATCTTTATAGGTTAGGTTAGGTAGCCGAAAAAGTTAGGTTTGGTTAGGTTAGGTAGTCGAAAAACAATTAATTCATGAAAACTTGGCTTATTAGGCAAATCGGGCCTTGCATAGTAGGCTGAGAAGTGCGTTCTGGCTACTAGGTACGACATATGTATATATATATATATATATATATATATATATATATATATATATATATATATATATATATATATATATATATATATATATATATATATATCCTTCAATCCACTCATTTTTTCATCCATCTATTCAACCATCTATTTAATCATATATAACTAACTATCCATCCATCCATCCATCCATCCATCTATCCATCTATCTAACTACTCATCCATCCATTTATCCATCTATCTATCCATCTATTTCTCTATATATTATACCGTTTCACCATCCATCCATCTATCTATCCGTCCTTCTCTCTGTTAATATCTTTAAATCCATCCATCTATTTATCCATGTATCATTCATCAATCCATGTATCATTCATCAATATATATTCCATCCTGTATGAATTCATTCAGAGGGCGCCCTAGGCCCTGCGGTCCTGCCTCTGTCTCCTGTATAATGCGTGCTGGTTCTCAGGTGTCTTCCCTGTCCCGTTGAAATGTACATTCCTCTCCCTCGTAGCCTCGTAGCCTGGGGGGTGGCCTCGGGGGTGGCCACCTCCCAGGGTGGCCTCGTAGCATGGTGGATAGCGCGCAGGACTCGTATTTCTGTGGCGCGGGTTCGATTCCCGCACGAGGCAGAAACAAATGGGCAAAGTTTCTTTCACCCTGAATGCCCCTTTTACCTAGCAGTAAATAGGTACCTGGGAGTTAGTCAGCTGTCACGGGCTGCTTCCTGGGGGTGGAGGCCTGGTCGAGGACCGGACCGCGGGGACACTAAAGCCCCGAAATCATCTCAAGATAACCCCTTCTCCCAAGTCTGGACGGGATGTTTTGGGTCCCGAGTTTGAATCGACCCATCAGTCTGCTTCCATTTCTACGGAAATTGGTGGAACGCCTGGTACACCTCCGACAGCAGTGGCTTGTGGAGACTTCGAATCTCCTGCCAGAGGGTTTCAGTGGATTTCGACCTCCGGGAAGGAGCACGATGGACTGTCTCCTCAACTTGGTACATCAAATAATGTACGCTTATCGCCGAACGAGGGGTGCCTCTTGAAGCTTTCTTTGACATCCTGAATGCGTTTAACTCTGGATCACATCCTGCTGTCCTTCAGGGCTTGGCTAGCCTAGGACTCTCGGGTTACGTGATGAGGTGGTTTGAGAACTGTCTACAGGACCTCTCTTTTAGAGTGGCGGTGAGTGATCCCGTCTAGTCACCGACAGACAGACAGATAGACTGACAGCCATTATCTGTTATATTAAACATTTTATAGGTGGATATATTGCGAATATAAGCATAATTTCCCGTAGGGCATGCAGGGTTAAGAAAGACTAGGAATATTTAAAGTTAGTTTTGAATCAAATTACCATGTTTGAATATCTTGTTATTTAGATTATTCCTTATTTTTGGACAATTAATATTTTTTTAGAAAAAAACAGCATTTTTCAAACTTCTTTACCTACGTTATCCAGATGCTATCTGTGTACGTGAAAGTTAAACGGCTAAAAATGATATTTGAGCTGATAAAACGTGAACATAATAAAGGAGCCAGGATGATGTAAGAGAGGCCGCCAGTACTCACACTCAAGCGCCCACTTGAAGAGCTCGTCCATGAACTCCCCAGGAAGCTCGTTCTTGTCGTCCCGCAGTCCGCCACATCTGTTGGGAGAGTCGAGAGGTAAATATACCTCTGCCCAGTTAGCAACATCAGAGACAGCTATATGGATGGACTGTAACATTGCAAGCTAGAATTTATTCCCATCCCCATCCTTCCATGGCGAGAGACGCGGTAAAATGTTGCAGGGAAGCCTCGCATACCAACACCTGCCAGTTTGGTGGTCTCTGACTACACTAAGATGTTACGAAGGTTCCAACACACGAGCCCTGATAGCTGGGGTGGCGGGGTGACGTGTCTGGGGGAAGCAGGCAAGGGTGACGTATCAGGGAAGCAGGCGGGGTGATGTGTCAGGGGAAAGCAGCAAGGGGATGATGTGTCAGGGAAGCAGGCAGGGGTGACGTGTCAGGCGGAAGCAGGAGAGGGTGACGTGTCAGGGAAGCCGGCAAGGTTGTTGTGTCAGGGAAGCAGGCGGAAGTGACGTGTCAGGGGAAGCAGCAAGGGGTGACGTGTCAGGGAAGAATGCCGGGGTGACGTGTCAGGGAAGAATGCCGGGGTGACGTGTCAGGGAAGCAGGCAGGGGAGACGAGTCAGGGTAGCAAGCAGGAGTGACGTGTCAAGGAAGCAGGCAGGGGTGACTTGTGTTCTGACTTGAGGGGGTTGGGCTTATGGAACTTAAACCTCCAAAGAGAACTCTGGTTGCTGCACCAGACTGTTACTTGCGTACAGGTGGACAACGTCCCCAACCACCCTCTGCAGGAACAGACAACCGATCTCGGCAGCCACACTCCCGCTACCGACGGTCAACCAGCAATGAACTCTGGAGTGCTTGAAGTTTTCTCAGGAGATCACCCTGTACGCCTCTTGATCTTGGAGAGGGATTCAGCATCACATATCTAGGGATGCGCTCCAACTCTGGCCTCGTTGGCCTGTGTACACACCCTACTTGAGCTGCCGTGACTCCCCGCTCTCTCCTTGATTGGAATGCTCTCCTCAATCCCCCTTTTGCAAATTAGTAGTTTCTGTCACCCTGTCTACAGCTGTGATCCTTTCTCTTCATCTCTCTCTCTTCTGCTTTCTGGGAAGCCTCACCAGGACAAGAATAAAAGTCAGCTAACAACATACATTTAATAAACAAAAGAACATATACAATACACGAAATATGAGCGATAAAATATTAACATACAACACTCTAAGCTACTATAACCTGGTAGCAATCCAATATCCTATCCTGGCTTCCCCAACCGTCCATATCAAGTGGCTGCTCAACTCTTGGCTCGTCATTTACTACTCCCTCACCAAGTAAGGTTAAGTCTCATGGTAATAATATGGTACAATCAGCCCTAAAATATATATAAAACTCAGCCTATGGCTGTAACACTAGAAACATCAGCATAAAAATTCCCCAACACAAAAAGAATTCAATCTCTCACCTTCCACTGCGCCTTACACACCACTAAGCATTCAAACACTCCCCTTATACATCATGTGTGATCACCATGAACCTCTGTTCTGCTCCTAAAGGCTTACTACCATGTATAACTCTAGGTTCTTCAAAGTAGTCAACAAGGCTCTTTTGCAGTCCTCCTAAACTGCTACACAATGACGCTCTCATCAAACACCAGTGATGCTTCACCACTGATCCCACAGACACGTGAAACTCCTCTTCACTGATCCTTTACACAGCTTGAGGTCCACCCCTCACTATGGGGTTCTGCTCTACCTCAGAGTTCAGCCTTCACTTCTCCAGCCTCGAAGTTTCCTCCATTAACTTCTTCCTTGGCCTCGAAGTTCTTCCATCAACTCCTCCCCCAGTTTACCTCCAGCCAGAGGGGGAGGAGCAGGTCAGGATGCACTCGTCCTGCCTTTCGACACAGGCCTAGGCCTAAGTGTTAGTCTTTAGTGTGCCAAATAGGTCAGCTGCAGCGGCACCAAGTCAACGCCCCTCCTGCCAACTGTGGTAGGCCGTGAATGTGTGGATTGACCAGAAATCATAGCAGTAATTACTTATTTGGCGAGATTCACGATCACTGAGGGGAGCAGTGTGTGGAGGACGGGTCACCAGCTACTACCTGGCTACCCCAGGCACGACTCGTGTGTAAAATAGTCCTTGTGCCCTCCCTACCCAAGGTCGCGGTTTGTGTGTGCGACTGTCGTGTTTACACGAGAGACCGCTAGGACACCCCATACTGTATAGTGCCCCAACACTACGTGTGAGAACTGCGACCATAGTGCTTTGGGAGGTGTCTATATGTGTGTGCAAGGTAGAGTGTAGTGCTGAAGGCATACCACCCAAGAACACATGAAATGAGCCACAGCCAAAAGATGGAGCGTATAACGACGAGAAGTTGGTCGAGACAACAAGAGAACATGGCTAGTATACACGGAGACCATAACGACCCCGTTCCTTGCATGGGCACCCCACCCGGGGCCCACCGGTAGGGGTCCCCCACATGGGGACCTCCGGGCCAGCGGAGGATGATAATGATGCTGGCTTCCAACTAGTCCAAAACAAAGGAAACGTGAGACGGGACATGCGACAGGGTGAGCAGCAGCAGCAGCAACAACGATGATAAGACGATGATAGTGAGTGGCTGTTGTGATCTCAGCCTGCAAGAGAAACGAGTCTCCCTCTTTGAGAGTTATTCGTCAAGCCTGACCTGATTAGAAGGTCTAGCAAATATTGAGGTGATAACGCATATGTAAAATAGTTGCTTGGATATGTATAACAGTTTAAGATTATGGGCAGTGAAGAAGGAAACAGATAAATGACTGGCTAGGAGATGTGGACATTTTGCTGGAGGCGTGAGGCTCGCTTCCGGAGGACCTTGACCTCACTTGAGTGCCAGACATCGCAGGAGAAAGCCGCGCTCCGTGAGCTCCCGCCAGAAGGGAACCCCTAGTGATATATCTCGAAGAGAAGAGAAGTGTGTAGACGTGCCAGCTGTGGAACCGAGCTGGGAACGTTGTGGTCTCAAGTCCTGGTCGACGAGCAGAGTTCAATAAGCTGCTCAGAGGCATTTTCGTGGGCTGTGTGGAGCGCCCTGACCAGACGCCGTCAGAGGGAAAGCGCCCTCAACCAGTTAATCTGTGGTTTGTCTTTGGGGAAGAAGTTGCTGAGAACTTCGAAGTCAGCCTAGATGAAGTAATTGATGAGACTCCAAGGTAGTGAAGCAGAGGACCTCGAGCTGTGAGGAGAAGCAGTGAAGAGGAGTGTCACGTGCTTCTGTAGAGGTGGTGTAGCAGCCAAGAGAGCTGTGGAGGAACCTAGCAGAAGGGTGAAGCACCGTAGTTACTCAAGGAAACTTCATGATAGCAGCCTGGAGAAGCTGCAGAGGATCCTGGTAGTGAAGCCCGGAAGAACCTAAAGATATTAGGGTAGTGAACTTCCAGAGGTGGAAGGGAAGTACTGGTGGATTACTTGTAGGGAGTTGATAGTGTTTGGTTGTCAGTAGCGTGCAAGACGCAGTGAGAGGTGAGTGATTGTTGGTATTCTGATGTCAAGGAGTGTTTTACACTGAAGTTTAGAGTACAGTCGTAGGCTGGATTACCTAAAGACGTATGCGTTCTAGGACTGATAGAGTGATCGATTGATCATTGTTGTGTATTAATGAACATTTATACTGATATGTTATTGCATTCAAATGCTGATTTTCTTGGTACACATTTATAGATACATATATATATTCTCTTGCTGATGGTGCAACAGTGTATGTAGACTTGATCAACTTGAGGAGGTTGATAGTATCAGGTGGTGAACCAGGAGATAGGATACCACTTGATAAGCTGATGACAGAGTTCTGATGGTGTTGGAGTGCAACCTGATTGTAATATTATAGAGTATAGGATTCATTATTATTATATGTGTGTATGTATTGTGTATGTGCTTTGTCCAGTAAATGTATCACAATTTGCTGGTGTTTGCCCTTGTCCTAGTGAGGCTTCCCAGGAGGTAGTAAAGAAGGAGAGAGAAAGAGAGAAAGAACCAAGAACCACTGCTGTGGACAGGGTAGGAGGTAATACTAGTAAGTCATAGGGGATTGAGGAGATCATATCTCATAAGGAGAGAGTGGGGAGTCACAGCGGCTCGAGTGGGTGTGTGCACGTGACAACTAGGCTAAGTGTTGGAGCCGCATCCCCTAAACGTGTGACGTTGAGCCCCTCTCCAAGAGCCAGAAGCGCCAAGGGTGATCTCCTAGTATAAGCACTCTACCGAGTTGTGGGTTGGGTTGTCCATAGAGAAGGATCAACGACGACAACACCAACCAACCCACAGTCTATAATAGGCACACCCTAATCTTTCCTGAAATGGGATTGACAACAGCTGATAAGTACAGATGGATTATTGAAGTCGCCTGCGCCCACAGAGCAGAGTATCGCATAGAGAGCAGGTGTATAGGTGGCAATGTTAGTGCATGGGTGCAGGGGCACAGTGCCCTGCAGTACTTCACAGAGACCAGTCTTGAGTATCAAGGTAAGAATGTTAAATTGTTGGAAGCAAACCCACAGACAAGACAAACTTAAATTATAATCAAGAACTACAGTATTCATGTTGACGTGGAATTTCTCAAGGTCTTTAAAGAGATTGTTTGGGTCGAACGCAACACTGGACCAAGGGGACTGCCCAAAATCAGGCAATCGCTCTGTGGAAGGGAGACCTGTCCCCAGTCATTAAAGTACCAGGCATGAGGGCATGCAAAGTGGAGAGGTATATTGGCAGCCCATCCTTATGTGGCAACTGTCAACGGTGGGATCACGGAACGTGGCAGTGTGATCGCCCAATTAGGTGTGGGTGTTGCAGTGGCTCTCACGACACCAAGCAGTGTCTGGCTAAGCTTGCACTGGGTGGGGGTGGCGGGGTAATACCTAAATGTGTCAACTGCAAGCAGCCCCACCATGCTTGGAACAGGTATTGTAGCGCGAAGCCTACTTGGCAGGGCTCGAGGCCACCAAATCAAACCGCAGGTGGACCAGTGAACAGCGGCGGGAATAGCTCGATGAACAGTCTCACAGCAAGCCAGGGTCCAGTTCAGGGACCAGCCCA